CAAAATCCCTTCTCTGCTTTCTCTAACAGCCTTTCCAAGCTATTTCCTGCTGCTGAAGAAATCTCAACTTGTGACAGCTGCTCCGTAGCACTACATGAAGCAAATAAAGTCATGCTCTTGAGTGGAGAAGTAACCCATAAAATAAAACCCTAGAAGCTTTATTCTGCAGGGAAGGGGTGTGCAGTCTAATCATTTAAGCCAATAATTGAGTAATCTACTACTATTAGATTGCTAAGGACTGCAAACAAAAATGACAGTTATGTTGTAGCTCAAGAAACCCACCCTTACTCCTGAAATAATCAAATGAGTGGGAAATACCTAAATTAATCTCTATCCTAAGAAAGTACCTTTCCACAGAAGCTTTTTGCACGGCTGGTCTCACCTCCTGAACAGGGTCTGGGAGCAGGTGGGAGGCTGCACCCCTCACCCTGCTTTCCCTTCCCAGCACAACACACTTTCGAGTGCAGTCCCAGCTTGGCCCTCGTGTTTACCTGGGCAGGTAAAGGGGTCCTGTGCAGACGTAGACGTTCTTGTTGCTCCTTGCCAAGCTTCTGCTGTACTTCTCAAGGTTATTCCAGGCATTCTGGTTTAAATGAGGAACCTGCAAACACAACCAGGGTGACACAGGCAGCCAAGTCAGTCAGTGGGGAATTTCCTTGCTGTTCAGAGTAGTAACACCCTCCTTTTCTATAAGATGTCTCACAGCATCCCAGGCACTTTCCAGGGCAGATCTCCACTATTAGCCCTGCTCTGGATGCTGCATAGGGTGAGGTCCTGGTTTGCACACCCAGGAACAGAACCCACTCACCTCAGACCATGACTTTAGAAACAGGTGCTATGAAATAATAGAATAATAATAATTCTTATAAACCATGCAACCATGCTGCTTTTCATTTTGTCCCTTGCACAGCCCTCTCCATGGTTGGTTTAAACCCAATCCAGCTGAATCAACAAGAATAACAGAATTTAGAGACACAGCAATTATAGAGGATAAGCAATTAACTTGAAGTAAGCAATTTGTGAAAGATTACATATTTTAAAATAGACATAAGTTAAATGTCATTATGTCAGTTTTTCTTAGAAGGGAAAGGTGAGCAGACAGGAAGATGATTCAAGATCAGTGAACAGAGTGACCAGAGTGGGACCAGTGGGGCTGCAACTTCTGAAGAGGCACCGAGACCAGATGAGAAGAATCAGCTGTGTTTGAAGACCACTGGGGACTTTTATAGAATTTTAAATTAATGAGAAATTTGGAACTGAGGGTTCGTGGGAAAACACCAAGAACTTTGAGAAGAATACCTATTGTATAATGTTAAATTCAGTGTATATAGAGAGCTTGATTTTTGCAGTGCCTGAGCCACTCACTGAGGTGCCGGCCCAACTCTGAGCTGTCAATAAAGCAAACCCAGGGTCACCCACGGACCGAGTTAAACTCCTTTAACA